AACACTCCCTGACTACAGGCAGGAGCACTCCCTGACTACAGGCAGGAGCACTCCCTGACACAGGCAGGAACACTCCCTGACTACAGGCAGGAGTACTCCCTGACTACAGGCAGGAGCACTCCCTGACACAGGCAGGAGCACTCCCTGACACAGGCAGGAGTACTTCCTGACTACAGGCAGGAGCACTCCTAGCAGGGATTCTGCCCTGATTATATATACAAAGAAGGAGGTGAGCAGAGCACCAATGGTCACTGCCCCCTGCTTCCTGACTGTGGGTATGTGTAGGAAACTGCTTCAAGCCCCTGCTGCCTTTGACTCTCCTGCCATGAGCTCCCTGCTTCCTGACTGTGGGTGTGTGTAGGAAACTGCTTCAAGCCCCTGCTGCCTTTGACTCTCCTGCCATGATGAACTATCATTTGAACTGTGAGCTGAAATAAACTCTTTTCCTGTAAGTTGCTTTTATCAGGTATTTTATCACAGTGATAGGAAAAGAGACTTACATCAGTTGTCGAAGCTGAAGCTAAACTGCTCGTCCTGCTGTCCCGGCTGCCCTGTTAAGTACCTACTTGGTGAAGTCCTGAACACATGCGAGCTTACTGGGAATCCTGTACAACAGGCTGTAAAAGGATGCTGCTATGGTTTGCATCTGAAGTCTCTCCCACAGGCCCATGTTTTAAATGCTTCATACCCAGCTTGTGGCTCTATCTTAAAGGCATAGAGGTTTCAGGAGTAGGACTCGGCTGGTAGATGGCTGGGAGCAGGCCTTCACAGGTTATAGCAGGCTCTGGCCTGGCCTGCTTTCTCTGCTCCTGGCCCACTGCTGCACACCTCTACCTCCACAGGCAGGGCTGCTCCACTGTAGCTTCCACCTCAAAGGACTGACACCATCTGAAACTATGATCAACATAAACCTTCCCATCGGGTATCATGGTTGTAGTGATGGGAGACAGTACAGATATTCTCCCTATGTAAATTCCATATAGAAGGAATGCAACCAGGTACCTGCTAAAATGAACCCAAAGATCATGTACCTTCTACAGAAGTATCTGGGAATACTCTATGCTCACCAACATGTAGCTCAGTTGACAAAGAGCCTTCCTGGCAAGTATGCAGCCCTGGGTTCATCTCAAGCACCACGTAAGCTAGGTCTGGTGCATACCTGTAATGTCAGCACTCAAAAGGTAGAAGCAGGAGGATCAGGAGTCCAGGATTATCTGTGACTACATAGTGAGTTTGAGACCAGGCATATATGAGGTCCTACCAAGAGAGAGAGACTGGGGGGCGGGGTCAGAACAGATCAGGTGTGGGGGGGTCAGAACAGATCAGGTGTGGTGGCACATACCTATAATCTCATCACTTAGAATGCTGAGCCAGAAAAACCAGAAGTTCAAGGCTAGCCTCAGTTACATACAGAATGACCCAGTCTCAAAAAAACAGAGACTGGAGAGAGAATGGTTAAGAGCACTTGTTGCTCTTCCAGGAACCCACATAGAGTGGCTCACAACCACTTGTAATCCCAGCTCCAGGGCATCCAATGCCAAAGAAAGGAAGAAAGAAAGAAAGAGAGGGAGGGAGGGAGGGAGGGAGGGAGGGAGGGAGGGAGGGAGGGGGGGAGGGAAGGGGAGGGCGGGAAGGGAAGGAAGGAAGGAAGGAAGGAAGGAAGGACGGAAGGAAGGAAGGAAGACAGACAAAGCCCCATGAGTATGTCAGAGTAATCTGACTGAGGGAAGATAAACTGTAAATGTATTTTGTACAGCTTGGCAAAGACTATGATCAGAAAGATATTTATCAACAGAGGTAAAATTCAGAAAGTCTAGTGACACTTGTCAAAAATCATGGCTGTTGGAGTCCTTCCCTTGGTCAGACAGTTAATACAAATGGATACGTCTTTTTGTTTGTTTGTTTTTGTTTTTCGAGACAGGGTTTCTCTGTGTAGCCCTGGCTATCCTGGAACTCACTCTGTAAAGCAGGCTGGCCTCGAACTCAGAAATGCACCTGTCTCTGTCTCCCAAGCACTGGGATTAAAGGCGTGCGCCACCACCACCCAGCCGAATGGATACTTCTGATTAACAACTACTAGACTAGAAACAAGTGTGATTCCTGGACTTTGGAGTTGAAATGCATTCTACGCATAATGAAACTAGGTGTTGGGTGCTGGAGAGATGGCTCAGTGGTTAAGAGCACTGACTGTTCTTCCAGAGGTCCTGAGTTTAGTTCCCAGCAAACATATGGTGGCTCACAACTATCTGTAATGGGATCTGATGCCCTCTTCTGGTATGTTTGAAGAAAGCAATGGTGTACTCATATAAATAAAATAAATAAATAAATCTTTTAAAAAGAAAAGAAACCAGATATCGTGGACAAAGAGTTACTGCAAGTCTTTTGCTAAAAAGGGATAAGATGAATCTAGACCACTTGTTCCTTTCACTCAAACACTTTTCACATGAGACAACGTACATAACATAAAATGGTGATAATGGACCAACAAATAATTACTAAAGAATCCCATAAATCCAGGATGATATGCAAAACAAAACAGAAAAAAGGAAAATATTTTTTTCACAAAAAGGTTCAGTTGGCAAAATGACAGCATTAGAAGATTACAACCTTTAAATCACTGGAGTAATAACTAGTTCAAGCAAAGATCATCAATGGACAATAAAACACTGACCAGGAGTTTGCTAGAAGGCAGGTGTAATGATACTTGCCTATGACCTAGCACTCAGGAGGCCAGGCAGGTCATGACCAAGTAATTCACCTGCCTCAGCCTCCCCAGAACCTAGGATTCTAGACATGTGCCACTAAGTTTGTCTAAAAGGTTATCTTTACAATAAAGGAATGTGGTACATGGTACCATTTAACCAAGTGATTAGAGTATCATCAAGAATGAAAATGGGAGCTGGAAATGGCTCAGCAGTTAAGAGCACTTACAGAAGACCCAGGTTCAGTTCCTAGTCCCCATATCGGGTGACTCACAACCTCCAGTAACTCAGTTCCAGGGGATCTGATGCCCTGTACTGGCCCCCACAGGCATCTGCATGTGAATAGTGCACAAACTCTTGAAAAGACACATGCATAAAAATAAATAAATCTTAAAACAAAATAAACAAAACAGAATAAGACTAATTTAACAATTTCCTTGTGTTTTGCAATGGAAAGTATACAACATCAACCATGTGGTGCTCCAATGATTCTAAACGTGGGGAAACTATCAGAAAATCCAGAATGTGGGACATTCTATCAAACTACAGTCCTATCTTATTCAAAGATGTCAATGTCATAAAGAAAATGAAAGAAAAGATAGACAGTTACTCTGGATTAAATAAGATTAAAAAGCAACTGGATGCTGAATCCAAAAGCAAAAAAACAGTGACAAATGCTATAGGGACTTCACTAGGCTAACGGGGAAATTCAGTCACACTATGGTTACAGTCTCCGTCTTCCACAAGGGCTGACTTTCCTGGGTGTGATGGTGGTATTATAATTATATAGAGAAATGTCTTTGCTTCTGAAATTTAGACTAAAGACTTAGCAATAAAAGCTAACTGTTTGAAGTTTACTTTTCAAACAGTTAAGCAATGTACGCAGGGAAAGGATGTAAACAAGGCAAAAACAGTAATTCCCCATGGATCTGAAGAAAGTATCTTTCTGGTCAAGGACTCAATCACTTTTCTTTAGATTTGAAATTTCTCAAAATAAATTTGGGAAAACAATTTTAAAATAGAAAACACACTCCATCTTGATTTTGAAATTTTTTTTTTTAAATTAGTTTATGTACATTGGTGTGAGGGTGTAAGATCCGTTGGAACTGGAATTACAGACAGTTGTGAGCTGCCATGTAAGTGCTGGGGATTGAACCTGGGTCCTGTGGAAGAGCAGACAGTTCCCTTAACCACTGAGCCCTCTCTCTAGCCCTAGTTTTGCAAATTTTACCAAAGTGCTTTTCAGCCTTTGGGCTAAGATCAAGTACAAATTTCCATCATATCCAAGGTAGCTGGACTAACTCAAGTAGTGACCATCTCCCTGGACCCTGCCCCAAGAATGACCAGTAGCTTTCACTGGAGCCACCTTCTGAAACAAGAGTGAGAGCGACTGTGTTCCTGCCACTGTGTCTCAACAGTACAGTACTTACTAAAACTGGACTGAGACAGTTAGACTTTAGAAGAAGGAGCTGAAAGCCAGTGGTCCTGGGAATTACAAACTGAAGGACTGTGGGTAAAGTTTGTTTTCTTCTTTGACCGCTCCAAGTGTTTAAACTTTTACAAGGAGCATGCATTACCACATGATCTAGAAACAGAGCAAAAGCAAGTGTGAAACTGAAAGAGGAAAAAGTCCTCAGTGTTTTCCAGATCTTCAACCTTGTTTTCTAGACCCCACTTTGCAGGCCCCTCCCCAGCTGCAGTACCACAATCTCTAGCAGGGCCTAGGGATCTAAATCTTCACTAGATGCTTCAGGTGAGCTTCATCAAGCAAGCCTAGTAAGCAATTACATTCAGAGAAGGGAAGCCACAGTGCTGCAGGCTGGCTTACCCTTCCCTGTCCTGGACTGTCCTGGCCCTGGGTAGGACACTAATTCCTCTGTTCTAATCCCTGGGTCAGTACTGCCCCTCTCTAAGTAAGACTCTATTTATAACTTAGCGTCTCATTCAGCATGACTATGAGACGAAGCATACCAATCTAAGAAGGGAAGAGTCCTAGATTTCCTAACAGCAGCAATTCCAACTATAAATTAGTAAATCAGTAACATGGGTGGAACCTAGTAACACCTGGAAATATGTGTATGCCTGCATATAAATCTTTCCCTAGAAAAAGCTCCATTCTCAGGATAGTGAGCCTGAGTCCCCTCATCACCCTGAGAATCTACTGGGACAACACTGTTGGCATTAGTTGCATAGTAAGAGTAGTTCAAGTCACTGACTACCTTCAGACCTAGAAATAAAAGAAGAGCGTCAGCACAAAATTAAGAGGCTCATAGAGGGATGCAGCCAGCCTGTTTGGGTAAGGCTCAGGACAGCTGTGACTGTTTGTATATGCTTGGCCTGGGGAGTGGCACTATTTGGAGATGTGGCCTTGTTGTAGTAGGTGTGTAACTGTGGGCATGGGCTTTAAGACCCTACTCCTGGCTTCCTGGAAGCCAGTATTCTGCTAGCAGCCTTCAGATGAAGATGTGGAACTCTCAGCTCCTCCTGTACCATGCTTGCCTGGATGCTGCCATGTTCCTGCCTTGATGATAATGATAATGGACTAGACTTCTGAACCTGTAAGCCAGCCCCAATTAAATGTTGTTCCTTGTAAGACTTACCTTGGTCATGGTGTCTGTTCACAGCAGTAAAACTCAAACTAAGACAACAGCTAACAAGGGCTGGAAAGATGGCTCAGCAGTTAAGAACAGTGACCGCTCTTCCAGAGGTCCTGAGTTCAATTCCCAGCAACCACATGGTGGCTCACAACCATCTGTAATGGCATATGATACCCTCTTCTGGTGTGTCTGAAGAGAGTGACAGTGTACTCACATACATGAAATAAATCTTTAAGAAAGAAAGGAAGAGGGCTGGTGAGATGGCTCAGTGGTTAAGAGCACTGACTGCTCTTCCAGAAGTCATGAGTTCAAATCCCAGCAACCACATGGTGGCTCACAACCATCTGTAATGATATCTGATGTCCTCTTGTGAGGTGTCTGAAGACAGCTACAGTTTACTTACAAATAATAAATAAATAAATTTAAAAAAAAAAAGAAAGAAAGGAAGAAAGAAGGAAAAAAGGAAGGAGGGAGGGGAAAGGAGAGGGTAGAGGAGAGGAAAAGTTAATACTAATGATAAATTTGTTTTGGAAGGTTTGTTTGGTTGGTTTGGTTTTTGCTGTGGTTTGGTTTGGTTTTTGGTTTGGTGTGGTGTGGTGGGTTGGGTTGGGTTGGGTTGGGTTGGGTTGGGTTGGGTTTGGTTTGAGATAAGGCCTCATCATGTGCCCCTCATGGCCTGGAACTAACTCTGTAGACACTGATAGCTTAAAACTCAGAGATCCACTTGTCTTTGCATCCCACATCCTGGGATTAAAGGCGTGTGCCACCATACCCAGCTCAAAGATTTGTTTATTTTGTGTGTGTGTGTGTGCCCACTAGTCTGTATATACATGCACCATGTACATGCAAGAGCCCTCAGAGACAACAAGAGGGGTGAGATCTCCTGGAACTAGAGTTACAAGTGGCTATGAACTGATGTGGGTGTTAGACACTGAACCTATGTCCTCTACAAGAACACCAAGTGCTCTTCCCTGCCGAACCATCTCTCCAGCCCCCTGTTCTACTTTCTTATCTCTAATAGAGTTTACAGTTGGGTCAGGTAGCTCGCAGTCTAAGAACAAAATATAGTTAATAGGAAAAAGTTAGAAGGAAGGGACTTTTTTTTTAAGTATAGCAAAATTACTTTCTAAGCCAGTGTTATCTTAACAGATGATAGTCACTTACCACATAAAGAAGGTTCAGACAATGACCAGTCACATATGTGATAACAACTATACCATATAGTCTAAGTATGTAACAGACTAGATCATCTAGTGTTCACACAAGAATAAAATCACATAAGGACCAGCTTCTTGTTACATAGTACATGACTGTATTACTTTTAACTGACCTTCACACTGTTACATGGCAACAAGATGCAGTAGTATTTTTCTTTTTCCCTGTCATATAAAAGAAATTAACATAACAGAATTCTGAGTATTTTTAAAAACACTTGTCTTTGAGACAGGATCTCCTATAATTCAAAGAGAACTGAACTCGTATGTAGCTAAGGACGACATCAAACTTCTGATCCTTCCACTCTGACCTTCTAGTGATAGGACTACAGGAACAGAGAACTAGCACACCCAGTTTTATAAAGTGCTGGGGTCCAATCTAGGGCTTCCTGAATACGAGGCAAGCACTCCACAACTCAACTGTATTTCCAGCCCATGTTTAAATATTTGTTCTAGTAGATACAGTTTGAAATGTAGGATTAAAAGTTGAAAGTCTAATTGAAAAAGGATATCACATATTTTTTCAGAATTAACTCCATGGTGCTGTGATAGATAGATAGATAGATAGATAGATCATAAGATACCACAGAATTACCTTCACTACCCCACATTCTCAGGTTACTATTCGTAAGACCTCAGATAGTTATTTATCCTGTGTGGGAAAGTTTCTTGTTTTTCTTATACTAATGAGTTTCAGGGAGGAAGGTTTTCATGCAAATCATTCAGTAAAAGGCAGAAGAGTAAGATATGGTTAACCTGAAAAACCAGAGTCCTTGTCTGAGTCAGCAGCTGCCACGCCAAGTGGTCGGGCTAGTTTTTTCATCTCTGTGCCTCTGCCTGGCTTGGCAGAGAGTCTTCTGGGGCTCTCTCTGGATGGGATTTTCCTCTCCATGTCTAAGAGGGCTGGAAGCTGGATTGCAGGTACTCTTTGCATATGGATCACGCTATGAGAAACAACAATTACATAAGCAGTCATTACCTGGAGCATGAACAAGGTGAACCAAATGGTGAGGAAAAAATAAGGGCAAAGAACGCTAGCCTCACCCACTTCAGCTACAAATTCCCTGTGGTCTCAGCTGACCAAGCTTCAAGTTTACTAAACAGAATGGTTTCCACCCAAAAGAAGGTTCACTGGCCCCTTGCTGCCCTCTAATTCCATTCCGAATTCAAGGCACGCATTCAAGGCACGCAAACCACATTCAGTAGGAGCTTTGTGAGCTGCTAACAAAGGGACATCTGATGAGGCTTTTTGAAATGGGTAACCAAATAAACTCACCCTCCTCCCTGAGGAGAGGAGAGGTAACATCAACCAGCAAGGCGTGCTTTCCCAGTAGACATATGTATGTGGCTTGTGACCTAGTGCCACCGCTCAACAGTACAGAGTTTCTCAAATAAACCTGTCAGTTCTTAAAGTACTAAGCAGAGTACAACCAATATCGCACATACACACACACATTCACACACACACAGATACACACACAGAGATACATATACACAGAGATACATACACACACACACTACTTCAAAAGCCTTTTTTACATTTATTTTATAGGTTTCTTTTTGTGTGCACATATACATGTGTATGAACACACGTGTGCCGTGATTCACATGTAGAGGTCAGAGGACAACTGACAGGAGTTGGCCATACCCTTCCACCTCGTGGGTCCTGTCAGGTGCAAGCACCTTCACCTGCTCAACTATCACACTGGCCCATCCACCACATTTTTTTAATGATTTATTTTTATTTTATGTGCATTGGTGTTTCCCCTTATATATATGTCTGTGTGAGGGTGTCGGGTCCCAGGTCCTCTGGAACAGGGTTCTTAACCCCTGAGCCATCTCTACCTCTACATGCTACTTTTTTTACTTAAATTATACAAAAAAAAAAAAAAAAAAAAAAAAAAAAGAGCCCACAAAACTTTTCCAGGCCTGAAGGTATAGCTCAGTGGTAGAGCACTTACTTGGTATGTTTATAGAATAAGTGTGGTCCCAGCATCACCACATAAAAGCAAAAACTTTTATGTACACACAGCATATTTCAGAAATGCTTACTCGGGAGAATTGTGAGAAGCGGTAACTGGGAGAGGGCAGTAGGTGGGCTATAAAGTGAAACAGTAAAATAATAATAATAAAAAAATTTAATGTAAAAAGTACTTACAAGGGGTGGGCTAGAACGATGGCTCAAACAGTTCGGAGCACTTGGCAATCTTCCAGAGGACTCAGGGTTGAGTCCTAGCCCAAACATGGTGGCTCACAACAACAACTCGAGCCCTAGAGGTCACAATGCCCTCCCTGGCATCTGTGAGCACTAGGCACAGAGGGGAACACAGACATACAAGCAAACAAAACACCTCACACATAAAATAAATAAAAAATTTAAATGTAAGTACTTATACTGCATAAAGATATGTAACATGGGGCTGGAGAGATGGCTCAGAGGTTAAGAGCACTGACTACTCTTCCAGAGGTCCTGAGTTCAATTCCCAGCAACCACATGGTGGCTCACAACCATCTGTAATGGGATCCAATGACCTCTTCTGGTGTGTCTGAAGACAGCTACAGTGTATTCACGTACATAAAATAAATAAATAATTTTTAAAAAAGATATGTAACGTTTACTGCTGTTAATGTTACTCTCGACCTTTACAGTACCCTCCTCAGTTGTGACCCCATTTTACAATGGAAGAGGTAAGGCTCAGATACATTACATTCAGAAACATGTATTTAAAAAAAAAAAAAATATTAAGTGCTCCCTATAATTGGCCATTGTACTATACTGAAGATTCAGAGAATAGAATAATTTGTGTTTGTATGCTTCCTGGAGCTTGTGATCTAGAGAGAAAACAATAGATATTAACCAAGTAGTCATACAACTCATGATTGCTTTGACAGGCTATGAAGGTGTGAGGCTAATTGTCTAGGGCAGCAGGAAAGTGCTGTGTGGCTGGAATCTGGAGGATGGGGAGTTAGCACACAATAGTGAGGTCAAAGGCCATAGGTAGACTGTGCAGTGTGTTCCCAGCCAATGTGGAGGCTGAAGGGAGAAAGAACTTGATATACTCAGAAGTAAAATGGCCAGGGAGGTCAAAGCAGAATGCTGTGCACAGACAATGGGGATGGGGGAAGAGATGGGGGAGCTGACGCACAGGACACACGGGCGGTGCCTTGGAGTCATGCACGCTGGAAACTGGATGTTAACTAAGGAGCAATGGGAGTGGTGGCACTCGCCCAGTACTCAGGAGGCAAAGTCACGCAGATCTTTGAGTTTGAGGCCAACCTGGTCTATAAAGTGAGCTCTGGGCCAGCCCGGGCTACCTAGCAAGATCCTATCTTAAAAAAAAAAAAAAAAAAAAAAACAAGGGACTTCAGGGGTTAAGAAAAGAGGGTAGCACCAAGGAAGACAATGATGAAACTGGGTAGGAGGAGGAAAAGCCCAGAAATTATTGAATTCACAATCCACTCATGACTCCACACAGCTGTCTTAGGTAAAACCACACACCTCAGCTAAGTGGCATGGTCTGGAATATCTTCAAGCGCCACACCTGAACATTTCTGCTAGTTCAGTGCCTCGTGAGAAAGAGCAGAGCAGAACCTCTCGGTACAACGAGCAGGAGACATACGAGTCCACGCGCTCTTGAGCAATCTCTTGCTCACATGCTTATAGACGTGAAGTGGACTGAAGGGACACAAACTGAGCTGCATGGGAGGAAACTCTAAATTCAACTCCAAGTAAAAGTCATTCTGCCCCACATCTATCTCATTAGGGTTTGTCAGCCTTGTCCAGTCCATAGCATGTGACTCTCCCACCGGTCACATGCTTAACCCTCCACACGCAGTGATAAACAATGACACTGACGCGTCTTACAGAGCCCGCTGTTTGACAACGAGGATGTTTGACAGCCTGGACAATCCTGTTTAAAAAGCAGATGGAAACGTAAAGCTGTATCTCTAACTAAAGTAGGGTCCTTTTGTATGAAACCTAACAAACGTGCACAACAGTGTGATTTTCCTAAAATAATAGTTTGAAAGTGACTAGAACCTTCTTTAAAATGAAACTAGAAGTGGCTTCCAGATGGTATTCAGACTAATGCGGGTCTGACCAGCCTTGATCCAGATTAGAAGGGCAGGTCAAGGCAGTTGCAACTAAGAATCTGAGAAAATGTCACAATATCTTACTAAACAGAATATTTTACAGGTATTTTAGAGAAAGCATCCCAATTTAGTCTCTATGATCCTGACATAAGACTATGAAGAGTTATTAAGATGTTAGCTATTAAAATGTAGTCAGTGGAGCCACAGAAAAACACTTAGGAATTTACTCTGGTTCACGGGGAATTTACAGAATATTGACTGCAGAATCAAAATAGTAAAACTTTGACAAATCCGTTAGATTCTAAAACTTTGTATCCTGGGGAATTGGTGGCATTTTAGAAGAAAAACAAAACCCACACAACTGACTTTAAAATGGTAAAGTGTCTATTTTAGATGCAAAAAGATTTAAAAATATGAGAGCCTCTGTTTTTGATAACATTCTTCTGCTCAAGCAGAAAAAAAAGCTTTAGAGTTCCAGCTGAGGAGGCCCATGTGAGAAGAACAGAGAGCTACACACACCTCTTCACTTTTGGAGGAAGTGGGCTCACACGCAGCACACCAGAGGAAGCTCTGGGCAGAAAAACAGAGAGGTGGTATTTCCCACCAGCACCCCTTAAGACAGTGTACAGTAAGATTCATAATGGGAAATTAGTGAACGCTCACATAAACTGGTGTGACATTCTCGGAAGTGTGCTTCATGGCACTTGCTGCTCACTTCCGTTTTTCACTCCTTACATTAGAGTCATTATTTGTCGCTAGAACAGTGGTTCTCAATCTGTGGGTCCCAAACCCTTTGTGGGTCAAAAGACCTCTTTTCACAGGGGTCACATAAGAGTCAGAAAACACAGATATTTACATTACAATTCCAAAAACCAATTTGTTTTTGGTTTTGCTTTTTTTGTTTTTTTTGTTTTGTTTTGTTTTGGTTTGGTTTGGTTTTTTGGTTTTTTGAGACAGGGTTTCTCTGTGTAGCCCTGGCTGTCCTGGAACTCACTCGGTAGACCAGGCTGGCCTCGAACTCAGAAATCCGCCTGCCTCTGCCTCCCAAGTGCTGGGATTAGAGGCGTCCACCACCACCGCCCAGCTACATTACAATTCATAACAGGAGCAAAATTATAGTTATAAAGTAGCAACAAAATTATTTTGTGTCTGGGGGTCACTTACAGCATGAGGAACTGTATTAAAGGGTCCCAGTGTTAGGAGGATTGAAGACCACCTCTCTAGAACCTCAGAGTCCTTGGTTCTATCTTTATTTTATTTTCAACTTTGCAACAGACTTGTGAGGTAGTCAAGAGAATAATAAATTTTAACAAACCTCAGTCCAGCAGAGTCTCTGGCAACACAAGCAGTTTAGTAGTCACCAAAATACTTGAACAACTTGAAGGTCAAGACTGCATTTTCAAACACCATGATCACCTCAAGGTCTAATTATCAGGTGTTGTCCAATATATCCCTTATTCTAAGATGAAACCATAAGGACAAGTCTACCAACCAAGTTAAAAGCTGGTGTGACCCACAATCTCTGGGGAGTTTTGAATTTGGGATGAAAAGACTGATCAAAGGGTTAAGAGGAAAAGCTCTGACACGCAGCTTTTAGCATTCTCCTTTTATAGCTACTTGGCAACATTCCTGAGAGCTCACGTTCCCTTTAAATGTGTCACGTGTATGACATGCGTGCAGAGAGGTGTGAGGTGAAAGCTTACATATAATAAAGTGATAAGGACGTAGAAAGTGAATTTATCAGCCATAAACCCATGAGTAACCCCAGTTAGAACCAGAAATGTATGACTAGGTTTTCTCTGAAGTCGGTTTTTCTTTTAATCTGCATTTTCAGAAATGCCATTCCGGGAGGATGTGTATTTTAGCGGTGGAAAACTGCACCTACCTACATGTCTATTATTCATATTTTCCTTCACACTTCTCAAAACTGACTGAAAAAGTCATGTCGAGGACCCTGCCCTGATCCATACAGTTTCCCACGGCTCTCTCCATCCTCAGCTTTCAAAGGGAGCCATGTGATTAGAGAACGTTTTCAGATCACTTCAAAAAGGGGGCTCGCAGTAACAGTGCCCACCTATCCATTCGAACCAGCCCACAGGACATCTGCGCCAGGCAGCATGCGCGCCCTCCAGGCATCAACTTAGCCTGCCAACTCAGCAGGGCAGAACTGGGCAGACCCCAGGACTATGCTGTGACTGGCATACCACCAGTCTCCAAGGCAAATGCCCAGGCAATACCTACTGCCAGAACTTGGGCAATAAACAGAGAGCCTGGCTTTGGCCCTGGGTCCAGATCAAAACTGTCCTGCCCACCCACTAACAATTGACTTCTTACCTGGCACAAGCCACCTTCTTCCTCACATCCCTATCACTGGCACCACGCCTGGCTAGCCGGCCATTCAGGAGAAATAACCAGTAAAAGTAGGGGACCGCAGGCCTCTGAAATAGACAGTGCACCTGTGTCTGGGGCATAGCTCTTAAAAGAAGATCCTGGACACCCACTCTGTCAGCAGCCCTCATGCCCACTGGCCAGCCCAGTCACAGACCCCTCAGGCCTTCAGATCCTCCTCCGGCGTGAGCAAAGGTATCCAGGGTCAGGCCGAGGCACACATGCTCGAAGGGACTCACACCACTTGCCCCTCACACAAACCCGGTCCCTACACACCATCTGTACCTCACAGATTCCCTTCCCCACACCGGGCCCGACTCCTCACAGCAAACCAACTAAAAGGAAGCCAGGAATGGCGCATCCCTCTGCTCCCAATTTTTGGCGCCCCCGTCCCCCTAAAGTCCCGGTTCTTTCTCGGGCCCACTTCGCTCTTCGTCCTCTTTCACCTGCTCCCACCTGCTTTCTCAGTGCTCCCAATCCCAACCTCTCAGTCTCACCCCCATCCCAGCTCTCCCTGAGCCCGGAGCCTAGCGAGACCTGCCTTTCTCACCTAGGGCCAGGGTCGCCGCTCCATGACCAGCCCAGCAGGTTAGCCGGCGCATGCGCGAGCAGGGCCCCACGACTCCATGACAACCTGGTATTCGCCGGGTCTTTAGCTATCCCCAAAGCCTCCCGCCCATTTCTCCTCCCTCCGCCTCCACGACAGCTTTCGCCTGTCACGTGGACCGGTTCCGAGGACCCAGCACCATGGAGTCTGCGCGCTGTGCTCCTAGAAGGGACCAGCACCACCTCTCCGCTCTAGCCGGAAGGCCGCGGAGCACCGAGGAGAGAGCGACGCTCTCTCCACAGCGGTGGGCCTCTCTATGGTTGGCACTTGAGGCTTCGCCGCCATTTTGTCCGGTTCCTTGAGTTAATGTGTTGAGGGCTAGATCTCACGATTGGGTTTCAAAATCATGGGTACTGGCTTGTAGCCACACGGCAGGAGTTGAGATTCGTTTGCGGACACTGAGGGGAAGCCGCCTCGGGGTGTGTCCCCCTTGACGCCGTTAGGGGTGAGAACCGGAACTAGACGCGCCCGGCTGCGGCGCCCAGCGTGGGAGGACTCGCGCGGGCTGGCAGCCGGGCGCGGCGTCCCGGCGGTTCACTCACTTTTTTTGCCACTCTTGTCGCCTGGTTTGATTTCCAGTCAATCCCCAGACCGTGCACGGGGACTAGAAGCAATTGAATATTTTAGTGAGATGATTTCATGCATTTTGATGTTTGGCTGGCTTTCCCCCGTGCAGCGGGCGATGTCAGGTTTTATAGACGATGTCCCATGCCCGGCCCTGAAAAATTGCCCCTCGAGCACGCTGAATCTCCAAGGGAAGTGTTTCACAAGTAAAAACGAGCGAGTTTAGGTTGTTGGCAGTTTGAAGCTGGTTCTGGAACTGCCCCTGTCTCTCCAACCCGGTACTCCATGAAGAGCTGTTAAAATTCAGTAAAATGGAGGTGTTAGGTTTCCAGCCGTATTGGCAGCATTACAAGAACTCAGTGGCCACATGCAGCTGATGACTACTTTATTAGACCGCGAAGATTATCGCAGGTTCTTAGCACTGCAGAAAGTTAAATTGCACCTTGCAGATGTAGACGGCAAATGGCCCTGCATTGGTAATCCAAGCAGTTTAAAGGTCATAGCTAATCACATTATTCATCCAAACACAGATAATGCTAATGTATTAGTGGGAATGAACGTACTTGTTAGCATAAACCCTCCCAACAAGTAGTAGATAAATGCCTACACATTGTAAGGCTGTTGTTTGAGAGACAGAGGAAATGAAAACATTTCCCATTATCAAATGGTTAAGAGCCTGTAGTTTTACATGCATTCTCTCAGGACATCCCAGCAATTGTAGGACATAGGTGCTGTTTGCTTTTGTTTATAAATGAGGGAACTGAAGTTTGTGCCCATCACACGGCTAAACCTGAACTCTTAACGGGAAGACTGCTCCTAACTAAAATGAGCTTTGCTCTCAAACACCTCAAAAATCAAACACATGAAATAAAATGGTCCAGCTGGGCCGTGGTGGTGCACGCCTTTAATCCCATCACTTGGGAGGCAGAGGCAGGTGGATTTCTGAGTTCGAGGCCAGCCTGGTCTACAGAGTGAGTTTCAGGACAGCCGGGGCTACACAGAGAAACCCTGTCTCAAAAAAGAAAAAGAAAAGAAAAAAAAAGAAATAAAATGGTCTAATAACCAACATGAGAGAATGTAAGTGCCAAAAAAAAAAGTGAACAAATCAATAAAAGCAAAAGAGAAAAATTATTCAGCTTCAGCTTGAGTCATTGTTGGAAGAAGAAGGAAACCAGGTAAAGTTTTAAGCACAAATAAAAGTCGGATTTACAGTCATGGAGGTGAGATAATATAGGCAGAAAAGAACAAATGAAATATGCAGAACCATGAAGAATGCCCTGTCTTGAACTTCAAAAGGGAAAGAAAATCAGATTTCCCTTGTATATGAGGAGATGGCCATTCTGTATCAACTACTTTGAATTTCTAAATAAATCAGTGGTGTTTATGGATAGGCATAATTTTATGATTATTTTACTCTATAATTCTATATGAAGAAGTCTATGAAAGTAGATACTGGCTGGGCGGTGGTGGCGCACGCCTCTAATCCCAGCACTTGGGAGGCAGAGACAGGTGAATTTCTGAGTTCGAGGCCAGCCTGGTCTACACCAGGACAGCCAGGGCTACACAGAGAAACCCTGTCTCGAAAAACCAAAAAAAAAAAAAAAAAGAAGAAGAAGAAGAAGAAGAAAGAAAGAAAGAAAGAAAGAAAGAAAGAAACTGTTAGGTAACCAAATCTTTTTTTCTTCCTTTTTAAAACTGATATTCCAGGGTTGTAAACTGACCCGTGTATGGATAGATTCCTGTGCCTGAAGCCTGTAGTCATTGGTCAAGGATTCCTGTTTGAGCTAAGGTCCCTGTGGTGAAAAACAGATTTTGAAACAGGATTTTCTTCTGGTTTTCAGGTCTTAACAATTTGAATCCTCCCCAGAACTGCTGGAGACTCAAGACCTATTTCACCAACACCATTTCCAGCAGGGGGAGACATGCTACTTTAAATGCTGCAGTAGGATTTGGGAATAGATTTCCCCCTATAAGCAGAGCCGAATCAGAAACAGCAACTTCTCCCGGTCTACTTCAATAAACTATCACCTATCCATATCAGGATTTGACTATTTAGTCCCATGTAAGGTAGCATGTATGTATGTAGTATGTATGTGCATATATTTTTTAATTAATTTTTACTTTTTAAAAAATGTATTAGTAGGGTCTGTCTATGTATTCCTGGCTAGTCTATTGCTCACTTTGTAAGCTGGGGTGACCTCGCCTTGAACTGTCAGTGATTGTCCTGCCTCTGCCTCCTGAATGCTGGAATTACAGGCATGAGCTACTAGAAGGGGTATACTTTCAAGTATTTGTAAATAACAATAATTTATCCAGGCTTGGTGGTGCATTCCTGTAATCCTAGCTGCTTGAAAGGCTGAGACAGAGCCAGGCAGTGGTGGCACATGCCTTTAA